ATTAAAAATATATAATATAAATAATAAACATAAAATGTTTTTGGTAGGAATACACATCTAGTTGAAACCTCCTTTGTTTTGCATTAATTAAGTTTTGGGTTAATGGATTCCTTATCTCTCTACACCAGCAGGTTTGAATGTAGTGTTTTTGTGGTGTTTCTTTCTTTCATTTTTCTTTTTAAAGAAAGAGCAGGTCACCTTACCTTGTAGCTCTGTTGCATTTTTTTCCGGCTCTTCTGTAGTTGTTTCTTCAGGCTTCTCCAACACAGCTGTCCCTGGCTTCCCATCCACGGTATCAGTCTTAATAGTACCAAGGTTTACCAAAAGTTGCATGACGTCAAACTTCTCAGAAACTGCAATGTTCTCCAGCACTTTGAGGCATTTAAATGATTTAAGTTCACTCACGTTCTCCTCAAGAAAGAGGAGGTAAAGGCTTAAGTCATCAAAACACTTTGACTTGAGTTTCAGAACATCAAAAGTTGGCAGGATTTCATACACTTTGAGGATACCTGAATTCCACCTCCACGGAACAAACATTGCATACACTACCAGCGGCATCACTAGAAGATAGACTAGCAGGTTAATATAGCTGAGTACCTTGAAGACACCAACAGCAATAAGCTTGCACTGAACCACTTCTGGAACAGTTGTGTCATTCTTTAAGATCCCAGTTTTTATAGTGCAGAGAAACTCATCACTCAAAGAGGAGAGGCTAATGTAGTAGCCCAGGTAGAGGCATGCAATGAAAATAATTACCAGAGTGAGTAAACGGCAGATAATGTATTTAATTATTAGGCATTTGGAATTCTTCTTCGTTTTCAGGTACTGCTCCACAATTGGGTATTTAAAATGGCTTTCAGATATTTCCCACAAACTGAAAGAGAGAAGGGGGAGAAAAAAAAAAAAAAAAAATCACATAGGTCAGATGCTGCAGCACTCACCTACCTCAAATTTCAAAGAAAACTCATATTCTAAAATAGACACAAGATTGGATTCGCTCTCACTGGGGTAAAACAAGGGTAGTTTTATTGAAGTCAATAGAAAAACAACAGAATAGCAGATAAATGACAAATGTTGACACTCTATTACACAAAAGCCACTTAAGAGATGAAAGAGCTCAAACATTGGAAAATGGAAAAAAGTATTGCCCTTGCAGCAAAAAAATATTTTTGTTGTTTTCCAATACAAAACAGGTATAGTAAGCAAATCCCTGAGGAAAAGCAGACTTCCCAAGCATTTGTTCAGTAATAGCACACTGGAAGGCTTTTTACTTGTCAAGACGTAACTCCACATTTTAAAGAACAGACCTAAGTCCCCATTGCATTGCGTGTACCCCCACACGCAAGGAGAAACAGTTACCCTGACCTAGGGCGAAGCAGAAACTGGGTCTGGTTAGAACAGTGCACCAATTTGATCAGAGAGGGGGCTTCTGCTTTTGTTGGTTTTGGTGCTTGGCTTTTATTGGTTTTTTTTCCTTTAAACAGAAGCTTTGCAGACCTAGATCTGAAAGGACAGGAGATGACAAGTAACAGACTTTTCTCACAGCTTGCAAGTGACTGTCAAGAACATTGAGAACTGAGGAGTGCAGCCATCCCCATTTTCTTATGCTGTGGTGGGTAAAACTAATTAACACCTACTACAACTAAAGAAATCAGGACATCTCAGGTAATTAGTAATCTGAAGAGCTCATCAAATGTTTTCTTCGAAAAAAGAAAGTTATAAGTTCCAGCTCCAAGTGCCCATAGTAATGATTTCAGATATCTTATTTTTTTTTAACCAAATTTTAAGCGTGTCAGGTCACCATTCAAACCTTTGCAATAAATTTCTAAGAGATTGCAGGTGTCACATCTGTTAAGAGCTTAAGGAAAAGAGCAAAGAAAGCCAAGCTCCAGCATCTTACCTCTGTGTCAAGTTCTCATTAACAGCTGGAACCAAGTCAGTAGGGTCCCTGGGGTCTCCACTGCGGATGCTATTAGCAGCTTTGATTGCCCTGTTATAGGCTTTGTCAAGTTCTTCCATAATAAATTTCAGGTCTGAAGAAAGGTGAGGTGCTGCAGTGAAGCGCCAAAACAAACATGGTAGATACAGCAGGATAGCGACGAGCAGAAGGATATACGGGAAGAACTGAAGGGAGAAAAAACTCAGATTAGTCTCTTCCTGTATATAAAATGTCAGCCAGTCACCATCATTCCCTATAAGTCTATTAAATTCCCTATAAGCCTATTCAATTCTCTGTAATTTTATTTAAATGCTTTTAGTGAAACCCACTTTTGTGGTTATTGGGCTGTGCAGGAAAGCAAATTCTCTTTTCAGACAGCTCCAGTAACCTTGCTACTGCTTAGAGCTTTGCAAAAAAAAAAAACCCAAAAAACCAAAACGGGCAGGATAAAGTTACCATGATCCTGATAACATTTTCATTGCATATTCAGAACTGCACTGCTGGAGCTGAAATTGAGATGCAGGCATTAACCTGGGGAACAACAAATAGGAAAGGCAACCAAAGCAGGTATCAGAGAGGCTGACTGGAAGAAGAGGATAGTGTCACATAACTCTCCCTCCCAAATGCGTCACCACTGTTCATAGCAACTCAAATGCTCCAAACACCGGCAAAATCTCTCCTGCTCTCCATTAGCTGTCAGGAGGTTAATGAATAGACCATTTATAGCACTGCATTGGCCTGCAAAGACACATGTCTGTTCAGAGTGCCTGACATACAGACACTGTAAAGGATGTAACTACGGTTGTAATATTTAAGGGCATTTAAAAATTTGTAGATAACTCCTGAATGGAAACCAACACATGGCATCAGAATGGTCTGGTGTTAATGCAGCGCCGAGAAGTCAGTTCTTACGCAGTCCCCATTGCTTAGGGAAACAGCTGAAGCAAGTATAAAATACAACAGCTTGAAGTCTTTCCACCTTTCTTCTAGTCACCAATGAGCAGTAGTTTGTCATCATGAGATTTAATCTCTAATTCCCTCCAGCTGCTGGAAAGAAGGCATTTTCTATCTCCTGTGACATTATATTCAAGGTACACATTCATACATAACATTACGCTTACAGAGACATGATGTAAGATCTAGTTAGACAAACAATTAGTTAACAAAATGTACTGCAGATTTGGCTAATCTCTAATTCATTACATTCCACTTTTGATAGTAAGCACACTCAACTCAAATCCAGCATCAGTTCCTATGGGATTTTAAATTAGTTGTGGTGAACAAATTTGAAACAGATTTAAGGCATCTTAAGTGTTACAGCCATGCACACATGCACATTCATTGAAAAAACTGACGGAGAATTTTAGAGTAAACTTGGACTGAAGTCATTAATCAGTTCAAGTGGAACAGCTCCACTAACATTTGTAGATATTTAACAAGATGAGAAACTGGACCTAATATTAACATGTTAACTTGTGTTTGCATTAATCAAGAGAGAGTAAAGTTTTGTATGCATGAAATAAATAATTTGATGTTATTGAACATCAATTTAATTGATGGAATTGTTATCCAGGAAAGCTGCTTCTAATAGCACCCACCATTAAAGCAAAATCCTATGTTATTATTAATACTAGGAAGGCATATGACATATTAACACATAAATAAACCCTGACTTCTTAAAGGAACTGCATCAGCAACTGGAGACCATAATATGAACCATCATTCTGGATGTGCACATTCTCTACAGGGAAGTCACGTCAGAAATTTGTGACACGCAGTAAGACAAAGCCATGAAAAGCACTAAATAGCCACAGAAAACAGAAAATGCTGTACTTAAAGGTCAGCTTTCCCTTGCAACCCTTCCTATAAATTCATACTTTAACTGTTTCTGCTCAGTAGCATCATAATTGAACTTGGCCAAAATTGCTACTTCGGTCTCTAGATAAGTCCTCAGGAAAGAAAACTTCAAGAAAGGCTCACCTTTAAAACTTGAAACAGAAATCCTGCAGGGATGGGCTAACCAGTAACAAGATTGTTTCAGAAACCTAGTTAACAAAGCAGAGTTGACTGTAATTATACTGTACATCCCACTAGAGGTAGCTCTTCCTCACCAGCAAGGAACAAGCATCAACCTAGTGCTATATCATAGCTGTGGCCTGTTCCCTGTCCACAGCAGGGGACTGACCTCAACAGGCCAGAGGGATCCAGGAGATTCCTTCTGATCTCCTGGAATTGCTGGGGACTGCTAATCTGCCCAGTAGTTCCACTGAACCCATACTATCTTCTGCACCACTAAACCATGCTCACCGAATGTATTGTCTATAGTCACCATCAAGGATTTCTTCCACCAAGAACTCTTAACCTATGCCAGCAGCCAAGACAGCCCTTGGGTATAGGTGCTGCTCTTCTTTCCGAACTGCTAACTGCTTTTGACCAAACTGAGCAAGCTCATTCTCTCAAAAACATGTCCTTAGTGGCTGTCATGTCCCAACTCTACTTGCTGCACCCTTGACATGATCTTTTCTCTAGCCCCAGCAGCCTATAGAAATTGTGCAGAGAACTGCCCTCACTACTTCTTCTTTCCCCTCTTTTCTACGCAGCAGATAACCTCAGATCATCTGGTTTTTTCCCAGATCTGTCCTTTCCAATTGAGATGCAGAGCTCTGGCGTGTCCAATGTGTTTTTGTAGACCTCTCGTCAACTCAAACCCAACAAGAATCTGCCCTCCATATTTATCTCTGTGGACAATGCCACTGGGTCTCTCAAGTCAAAGTCCTGGATGCCTTGATCATAGCTTTATGGTTTCATGGCCAGGCTCTTTCAGTCCTCTGAATTCTGTATTATGTAGAAATAGAAATTATCTGTCTACGAACACAGCTTAAACTTATCTCAGCTCCTCTAAGTTGCTGCAACACCTTTTCCACAGGCCTTAACAAATGCCAGCTCATCTAAGAGTGCTGCAAAGCCTGCTTGACTTCACTTACTTCTGTGTCATACACTGCTTAGCACCCTTCCACTGGTGCCAGGCAGGGAAAGAAACAACAAAGAAATATCTGATTTAGTAAGGAACAGCCAAAGCTTCTTACATTGGTTTATACCACTTAGATTTACTACTCACTCGTTTGAAATTTTACAGGCATCAGAGGATTTATGAATTTCCTTTCCGACCCCCAAAACTGGAAATGCCACCAGCAGTATCTGATTAAACCATGAGATCTCTGTACCCTGAGGCTTACAGGACATGCGGCAAGAGGCAAGATGGTTGGCACACTGAAGTCACAGCCCAAAACCTGCATTGTCCCAGTCCCCATCTCTTCCTTTATACCTAGAAAAAGACTCTGTGGGCACGTTCTACACTTGTGTAGCACATTGACATCAACCCTGTTGCTCTGCCCCAGACCTCCTCCAATCCCACCCATCTCCCCTGCCTCATTACAGACTGTTGTCTTACAAAGACCAGCCTCTGCCATCTTCCCTTGCACCTCCTCCTCTCCCCAATTCCTTCACCACTGCCTGTTCACCCAGAAGCATCACACCCCTGGGGCAAAGGCACATTTGCAACACGTTTACTAGGCTTCCCCTTGCCAGGCTCTCATCACTCCCAAAGCTGTAGCTTATGGCAGCATGAGAAAACACTATGCAGCTCTTTTCTGAATGGTCTCAAAACCAGAGCAGCAGCGTGACCATTAGTCCAACTCTTTTTGTTTAGAAACAAAAGCCTGTATTTGTCAGCCCTTCCACAGCACTTGACACACGACTCCATCCTTCTCGGATTCTGGCTTTTTTAAAAATGAAAGATACGCTTGTTCTATTTGTTAACAGTAGGCTTAGATAACTAGCAAATTGTTTTGAATCATTAAAATTTAAGGCCTTGAACCAACAGGCAGAAGTGAAAGTGCAAAGTCATCTGGCACGAGTCCTAGGTTTCAGAGCAACAGACGGATTACCCAGCTCATCTGACTACATTTTACAGTCACACATAATGACTTCCCATTTTAAGAAGAGGACTCCATGGTATTCACACATGGATGAGCATGTGCCATATGCCTTTCTTTTATGGTTTGAGATTGCATAACTGAAGAAAGGTCCTCTGAAAGCAGATTAGAACAGATACATTAGAAGAGATATAATATCCTATGGTGCAAAATGCTCCTTTCTGAACTTTATTAGTGAAAGTGCATTAAGGGCTACAACACCATGCTTCAACCTGGGTGCCCCAAGCCTTCATTTCCACCCATCTGCAAGGAGAAAAGGGCAGACAAAGACTCAACGAGTTCACCACTCAAAAACAGAATAGCAGAGCTTCAGCTAGGCTAATTCAAGTTTTTGGAAGATACTAAGCATAGATACTGTATAATTAGTATCCAGCATAAGACAGACAAAAGTAGTAGCACATGCACCAGGGACTCGAACTAGAGTCCCCTATATGTTTTCTGCTAAGTATTGCTGAGCTCCTGAAAGCTAAAGATGATGGAAGCAGGTTCACCTGCCTTGCTTGTCCCTTAGTCTGATGGCACACTGGGTGGGACAGCAAGCTCCCAAGGAAGCAGAGCACTAGGAAGCCAAGAGGTCAGCTGCCCCTCATTCTGTACTACTGCAGCTCATTTCGCTTTACAGACCTTTGAGCACTGCATACATTACAGGCTATACCCTTACTCCTCCTGAAAGCCAAGAGCACCTGATACCTGAGCAGGATATGTCTGACAACTCAACACCAGAAACTGCCAAAGCCTGTGTTAACCAGTATTGATAAGGCACTGAAATCCAAGCCTTATCCGAGCAGAAATCTGTGCAGAGGAGGATTCCTTCCTCCAGGCTAAAGACATCTGTGTTCAACATCACTGCTCTGCAACAAGTAACTGAAATGGGAACTGCAGAATTAGTGCCTCTCTATCTCACGGCTGTACTTTGAGAGTAACACATCCTACAGGACAGTCAAAGACAAAAAGAGGACCAGATCTGATACCGGCTGTTTGGTAGCCTGTGGCACAACACTCCACCAAGCCCTGCAATATAGAAAGCGTGATCTTTCTGGACAGTGAGAGCTTAGGAAATAGGATGTCCAGGAGTGTTATGATGCAGAGCGCTCATCCCCCATCTCAGCACAACACATTGTTTTCAGTCTTGTGTTCTACACTTGCAAAAGCAGCTATAAAAGTTATCATCAAAGCAAATAATTCATGCA